CAGTCAGGTCGTCACTCTGACCGGTGTGTCGGACTGCATGACTGCTTACCGACTACAAAATCCTCCTCTTCTGGGGCTCGAAACCACCTTGGAACCAGGAGTTATCAGGCATCAAACTTCAAGGTGGAGCCCCGTAATTTTATCTAAATGAGCGCGAGGTCATAGACTTTTCCAAGCATCTATGCAGCTGCACAAGTAATACTAATACTAATGCATACATTTGTGTCATTCATCCATACATAGCAATAGAATTGTAATCGATATTAGCAATAATTAAATAATTAAAATTAATAAAGTAACAGTAAAATATCTTCAGATATTTTCTTTCTTGTACATTATTAATATTTTATAGGGCTCGAGAGTTAGCACTATAAATGACTGGCTTCAAATTCAAATTGGCGGCTCTGAGGATGCTAAAAAGAAGAAGCCAACGAATCAGAATCGGATTAAGTCCACGAAGTACACATTGCTTACATTCCTGCCGCAGAATCTGTTGGAACAGTTTCGCCGGATAGCCAATTTTTATTTCCTAGTTATGACTATAATATCGTTACTAATTGGTAAGCCTAAATCGAGGAAATATATATATATATTTACTTCAGTTATATGCTATCTTATATTTACAGACAGTCCTGTTTCGCCCATGACGTCGTTGCTGCCATTAGTGTTTGTGATCGCTGTGACAGCAGCGAAACAGGGCTATGAAGACATACTGCGATATAGAACTGACAATGTGGTTAACCGATCCCCGGGTAGGTTTACAAAATGTGTTACAATACATATGCCAGTGTCTAACGTGCCAAGTGTAACCCACAGTAACGATAATTAAGAATGGCGACGAATCTATAATACAGTCGCAGAATGTGGCTCCGGGCGATCTGATCGTTGTCGAACGAGACTGTGATGTACCCTGCGATTTGGTCTTGCTGCGCTCAACCGATCCGCATGGCAAGTGCTTTATCACTACAGCCAATTTAGATGGCGAATCGAATCTGAAGACTCTGCTAGTGCCTAGGGATTTGCCACCAGTGCCCATTGATGAGATGCACAAGCTAGGCATTATAGAATGTGAAAGTCCCGGCACCGATCTATATAGCTTTAATGGAAAAATCGAGCTAGCCGGTGGCGAGGGACGCGTCCTTCCTCTCTCGGCCGAGAATGTGCTGCTCCGCGGGTCGCGTGTTAAAAATACAGAGTGCGTCATCGGCTGTGCCATCTATACGGGAATGACCACAAAGCTGCAGCTGAACAGTCGACTGACCCGCAATAAGACAGCTTCAAGTGAAACCTACGTGAACAGATTTTTAATATTTATACTTGTAGCTCTAATAGCCATAGTTACCTTGCTCTATTTCCTAAAGCGGTAAGTACACACACAACAGTTCCATTGCTTAGACAATTCGAATAGTTATGAAAAAGTTCTCGGTAATCCAATCTCATAACGAATGTCTACTTCTCTAGATACAATGAGCTCTTTGTGATACCAAAGCTGAGCTATCTGGGACCTGCAGCGGACGGCTATAGCGTTAAACAGTTCTTGCAGGACTATCTGTCTTTTCTCATATTGTTCAACTATTTGATACCCATTTCGCTCTATGTTACCATTGAGCTTCAGCGCGTCATTGGCGGCTTCTTCATGGAGTGGGACACCGAGCTCTATGATAAGGAGGCCGATCAGCAATGCGTTGTGAACACATCGAACTTGAATGAGGAGCTCGGCCAGATCAATATACTCTTCTCTGATAAGACGGGCACGCTCACCAAAAATGAAATGAATTTTCAGCAGTGCTCGATAGCAGGCCATAAGTTTTCCTATAGGAAGACGCGACTGGAAGATTGTGAAACCAAAGCATTGATTGACATCAACAAATTTACCGTAGGTCAACATATTAAATGCATATTTATATGCTCCATATGCTCCAAAGCAAAGTAAATGATTTATGTCTCAATGTTTAGTAGGTTTATATTTGATCCGTCAAACATGAATTATTTAAGGCTAAAAAGTCAAATACAAATCTTTAGCTTTCTCGATCAACAAAAATACTTTTTAGATGTGCCAAGTCTATAGCATTGGTAATTTAAAGATGCAGAGGCTGACGCATAAACAAATAGACGAAGATCAGAACTAGATGAACTCAGCTAGACACCTTGAATAAGGATGTATATGCATTATGGGGAATCTCACCGCAGTGTCTGCCCGTTACATCTGTTGTGTATTAATATATTGACTTTTCCAATTTTACTTTAATAGATAGACCAGAAGGTGTTCTTCCAAGCGCTGGCGGTATGCCACACAGTCCAGGTGGCAACTACCTCACCGGCAGATGTGCAGGTGAGCAATAAGAATGAACACAACAAGTCTGGACCGGCGGAAATGTACTCCATGACGGAGATCACCGAGGAGAGTCACAATTCAAGCCAGCACAGTGAACTGAATGTAAGCAACACGATCGAGGCATCCGTTTCGGCACATCCGAACGGTGTCAATGCTACGGCGACTTCATCGGACGTAAACCCTCTGCTGATAGGCGACGACAGATATCAAGTGGAGCGACGCAAGCGGCCGCAGGTAGTCAAGCGCAGCCCGAACTTCACCCGATCCAACAAGGTGCACATTGCAGCTGCTGGCGAGATTGCCAATGGTACTACAGAGCATCAGAACGGTCACTCAATGGCTGGCACGACAGTGCAAAGCCCGCAACTGATGCGGCCCATATCTCTGCAGTTCCAGCGTTCTACCTCAGAGCGTGATCTGCCACAGTATGCGGAAGCGAACAGTGCCTCCGGCATGGGTCACAGGCGTGCCCATTCATACGGCGCTCCCAATGCGTATCTCTCCAATCCCGTCGGCAGTTTGACGCCATCGGTTGGCGGGCTTTTTCGCACCGCCAGTGCCACTTCGCGTGAGTCCTATGCTGCGCCTATATTCACACGCCAGCCCACAATACTTATGCGTGCCGAGTCCCAGCGCCGCAAAAATGAAATTCAGCAAACGTTGTGGTAAATATAAATCTATCCCTGCTGTTGCTACTGCTCCTGCTTGTACATAAGCTAACTATGTCCCATTTTGGCTTTATTGAATAGTTTGCTGGACTATCAGGCATCCAGTCCAGATGAGAAGGCGCTTGTGGAGGCGTGCGCCTATTTGGGTATGGTCTACACTGGCGACGATGATGAGGTGCTGCGTGTACGTATTGTTCCACCACATCTGGACTATAAACGTCCCATCAATAACAATAAGCGCAAGGAGGACTGCTTCTATCGCCTGCATGTGCTGGAGTTTACATCGGATCGCAAACGCATGAGCGTAATTGTGCGCGACGAGGCTGGCAAGAAGTGGATCTATACTAAAGGTGCAGAGAGCTATGTGTTTCCGCTATGTGCTAACAGTTCGGCGGATATGGTCTCCAAGACGGACAACCACATCAGCGACTTTGCTCGCTTGGGTCTGCGCACCTTGGCCATAGCTAGGCGAGAGATTCCTGAAACAGAGTACCAGGAATTCGTCACTTCCCTGGCTCAGGCTAATAGCTCTCTGGAAAATCGCAAGCAGCTCTGCGAGGAATGCTATTCAAAGATTGAGAGCAGTAAGTGGACAATATTCTCTGGTAATCAAACTATTATATCTATATTTTGACAGATCTCGACTTACTCGGCGCAACGGCTGTCGAGGATGCGCTGCAGGATGATGTAGCCGACACGCTGGTATCTCTGCAAGCAGCAGGCATCAAGATTTGGGTGCTCACCGGCGACAAAGTCGAAACGGCGCTGAACATTGCCCTCTCCTGTGGTCACATACCGCCCGACGCCAAGAAGTACATCATTCTCGAGTGCAAGAGTCGTGATGATCTGCTGATTCACTTGAATGTTCTCGAACGTGAGATTGTCTTCGGAATGGGGCAGGAATGCGCTCTGCTCATCGATGGCAAGAGCTTGGCCGTCGCTCTGGCCGAAGCGCCTAAGGAGTTTCGCGACGTGGCAGTCAAGTGCACGGCTGTGCTCTGCTGTCGCCTTAGTCCCCTGCAGAAGAGCGAGGTGGTGGCCCTTATCAAATCATCCAATGAGAACTACAATACAGCCTCTATTGGCGACGGAGCCAACGACGTTTCAATGATCCAAGAAGCCCATGTCGGCATTGGCATCATGGGCCGCGAGGGCCGCCAGGCGGCTCGCTGTGCCGACTTCGCTTTTGCTAAGTTTTGTATGCTGAAGCGTCTGCTTCTGGTCCATGGCCATTATCACAGCGTTCGACTTTCGTTCCTGGTACTTTACTTCTTCTACAAGAACATCGTGTTCATGGGCATTATGTTCCTATTCCAATTTCACACGCTGTTCTCTTCGTCGTCCGTTTACGATTCCCTGTTCCTGACCCTCTACAATGTGATCTACACGTCGCTACCCATTCTATTCATATCCTTAACCGAAAAGCCCTACACCGAGGAGAAGCTTATGCAGTAAGTATATGTGTGCATTGATAATATTGTTTAGAAAACGATAATCTACACAATGGGATATAGTTTTATTAGCGATCGATATTTAAACGGACTTTCGTTCTGGTTATATATAAAGTATATTTTAGATTAATTAGGTAATATTCTATCAAGACATAGAAGCTTGAGTTGCCAAATTTGTAATATACATATGTATGTATGTATATTCATTTAGAGCTTACAGTGTTTATTTGGGATTCCTCATTGTAATAATCATATCATTATTTATATGAAGTAAGCCCCTTTAGACTGAATTATATTTCGACTTGATCGATTCATTTTCTCGTTTGCTTTTGTAGAAATCCGAAACTCTATAGGAAAAACACAAATAATAAGCAGCTGCATTGGCCCTATTTTCTGATGTGGACTGTATTTGCGATTTACCATTCGGTGATCATATTTTATTTTGCGTACTGTATGTTCTCCTTTAACAACGTCATACTGAGCTGGGGCCAAACGGCGGCCTTCTCTTGTTTTGGGACGTTGCTTATCTGGGCTGTGGTGATCATAGTAAACCTGAAGCTCTGGCTGGAGTCCATGTATCTCTCCTATTGGTACATTGCAATAATAGTATTATCAGTACTTGCATTTATGGTTACGACCGTCATCTACAACGTTATCAATCTGTAAGTTCGACCGCAATTCAAATGTGATTATCGTTTTTAGAGTTTGTATATTCTCGCTTAACAGGGACTACGACACGGATATTTACTGGGCATATAACAATCTGCTATCCTCCTTACCCGTATGGCTGTACGTCGTTTTAGTGGTTGTCGCCGCTCTATTGCCCGACTTTACACTGAGAATGTTCCAGAGAGCTCTTAAGATCAAGAAATTTAGCATATTCCCCGGCAAACAACGAAAGCTTGAAATGCGCCAGAAATTCGAGTCGACCTACTTATAATACCTAGGCTTAATTTATTTATTCTGTTTTATTTGTACATATATTACTATTATATACTTATATGATGTATACATATACATATTTTTTTTTTTTTTTTGTTAAGTAAAATCTGTTTGTTAAATTGAAATATATATTGATATACATATATATATGTATATACATATACAACATTGTAAAAATTGTATATATTTCTTCTTTTTTCCAAAATCCGAATTCAAGCTACGAAGCTACGATAATAGAACATGGCCTGAGACAGCACACCGAAGATAAACAGAATCACATTTTAAGCCAACCATGGGGCGGTACTGGAAATCAGAAATATAGATACTTGAATTGCTTATACACTCATATATTTGTTTCTTTACCACATAGATACGATAAGAATACCCTGCAATTCGTGTGCTTCTCTAATGGGTGGCCCACATTCAAACAGATTGCGACATTCAGCTTATGGGATATGCAGTCTTTGATGGTCAGATCAAAATTTAATTAAATTAACAATCGGATACATTTCGTGAAGTAGAGTCAATTTAATTATTAAAAAAAAAAAAAAAAAAAAAAAAAAAAAAAAAAAAAAAAAATACTTTAATGCAGATAAATGTTTCAGAACTGACACGACCTAAAAATTGTGAGCTGAACACTTATTTCCGAAAAGGAATCTCCAAGTTCAGAGAAATGTGGAGTCCATTTGATCATATCGATCTCGCATCTGAGATTAAATTACTGTCATTATAAGTAACTAAGTATAATCTAAACTATGATTTTCTAGATATTGATATAATATGGAGATTACAATTTATAGCATTTCAAAAATATTTATGTTAATTTTAGTGCTCGATTTATTTATATAGAAATATATTATGACTGAAAAGCCAAATCAAAGTAGAATTTGAGCAAAATTAATGATAATTGTGACCATAAAAAAAAATAATAGTAGCAATAACCATAGAAATCAAGGACTAGACATGTTCTATGGCTAGTGATAGTAGGCAATGCTTCCATTTTGCTCATTTTCAATTCGAGTGTATACAAATATTTTTCTCTGATTTGATACATTATGATACAATATCTTTCAATGTTGAAAAGTCAGAAGTTAGTATGGTTTTCTTTAGACTACTATGAACATACCCTGACTACTAGGCAATATTTGTGCAAGGCAACTCTGATTCGTATTTACCCGGTCGCACTTTTCGCGTTATCTTTGTTCTGTTGCCCCTGTTGTGATATTGTGCTCACTGTTGCAATGTCAAAATATTTTATTGTACAGTTATTTTCATTGATAATGATATCTCGCGTTCGATGTGTATGTGTGTAGGTTTTTATATCGTCAACACAGGTGTACGCTTTAAACCTATTCCTTGCTCAAACGAAAGAGAAACGAATGGCAGCGGTTTTCATTGAATCAAGTTTACATATATGTATGTAATCTCCAGGCAGTTGGTGCAGCTTTATCTGTGAACCTCCCACCGCACAGTACGGCATGTATGCACATACACACATATATCAACGCATATCTATGTTTGTGTGACTATGTCGAAGGCAATTCTTAATCATCTATGTATGTATATACATATGTATCTATATATGTGCGTGTACATATAGCTTTTTTTTGCTGAATTTAGTATGTTTCGAGACGGTTCACGTAACGGCGAATTAGGTTTGTTTTGTGGACAGCGCGCGTGTGGGAAAGCTTTTGAATGATGTCACTTAACAAGTCTATGGACGATCGATCAATCCAGCAGCCCAAATCAACGACCATCGTCAAATATGAGAAATCGTCGTGTCTCTTCTGCAACGAGTGGTTCGACGCCCAGACTTTTACGGTGTGTTCACAGTCATGCGTAATAAATTCAATATATTGTATTCCTAAGTAATGTCAATTTTATAGGAACATCTCATACACTGCGGCCAGGTGCTAGAGCAGTGCCCAAACAGCTGTAACGTGTTCATACCACGTATCCGTATGCGATCCCATCTGAAGGAGTGTCAGCGCGGCAATCACCAGCAGAAAATGCAGCGTCTTACTGCTAGCATGGAGCGCTTGGATCAATTTGCCGATCACCGCGTCCAGGTGCTGGAACAGGACATATCAACTATACGTTCCGTGCTCAATGAGGAGATTCGACAACGTCTTCATCTTATCACGGACGTGGGAAACATACGAAAGAACAATCATGTGGTCGAGGACTGGACCCGGGTGACAGACGACTGTATCGCAGAGCTACGGCAGCAGCTCAACGAGGAAAGGGCACAGCGCACATTTGCCACAGAGCAAAACCAAGTGGACTTTCAATATTGTTGCAGCATAACCCAGGTAAGGTAGTACACTCGATATAAAAAAATATATATATTTAGTCGATTCTTATAAAGTCGCTGAAGGAACAATTGGAAAAGAAAATGAACGACTTGCAACAGCATATTAATCAACTGTCCTCGGATGTGAGCTTCCATCAGAACCATCTGAATGATAATATTATGAAGTTGGAGGAAATTGTTTTTGAAAATGAGAGGATTAATCAGTAAGCTCGAAACACTTGTTCGAATCAACACTGCAAGTTTCGTTTGTATTGTACAATTCTTTTTATTATTAAGGGATAAGTTTGTGCGGATCGAGCAGTTTCTACAGGAAATCAACGAGGATATTAAAACTAAATTGGGATCTACGGTTCTTTCCACATCGAAGCAAGCCACATTAGACTATGAAGTCAAGAATGTGAAGAGCATTATGTGTGAAACTGAAGAGCGGTGCGATAAGCTCCAAAGCATTATCCAAGATCTCGATAAGACACTCCATCAAACCATGCAAAGCATCGCGGACATCGAGAACCAGCTGGCCATGCAGCAACGCATCGCAAGCGTTCAGAATATAAGAGGTGAGATATTACCACAACAATAAACATTTTACAAATATACACTATACCAAATATAAGAAGTGAGTGAACTTAGGACATTCTCAAATAATTAAGAATATGCGACGGAAATACCTAAAAATTCAGCACATCAAAATCGTATAAGAGATGAGAAAATCCGAAAGATGATGAAATTATATAACGAGAATACATATACTAAAGACCATGAAAATCATTAAAGAGGTGAATGTCGCAATTATATATTAAGGAAAAATATACAAAGAAGATTTCCGACAGGAAGAAATAGTCAATACAAGAGGTAACCAGATTAGAAAGATTCATGTACAGCATATATGAAGTGAGGATATCATCATATACGAATCAAGATATTTCAAAATCAATCATAATAGTATACGAAAGAGGTGAACATCAAAAAGGTTTCCTTACACTTATGTATGCATAGTATAGATATGCCATCAATGATACAGATAATATTTTTATACTAAATTATATTGATCGAGATTTCAATAATATTGTGAATAGAAAAAACATACTTCCTCTAATAATGAAAAACCAGTAATACCGTTGCAGTCGGGCGTTACCGACTGCGGAACACTGATTCACACTCCATAAGCAATTTAGTAGCTAAGTTTGGCTCTAATACTTTAAAAAATCCATTTTTTTCTCGATTTGCCACGCCCCTACTAGGCGTAGACACTTCATTTTTGGCCAGTTCTTAGAACGAGCTAACGGTAACCTAACTGCAAAATTGGGATACTTACACTTCAAAAATATGAAAATTACAGGGTATTTTTGACATACCACGCTCTAAAGACGTGGCAGACCCCACAAAGTATATATATTCTTGATCAGGGCGACAAGCTGAGTCGATTTGGCCCTGTCCGTCTGTCTGTCCGTCCGTCCGTCCGTCCGTATATATGAACGCGTCGATCTCAGAAGATATAAGAGCTAGAGACTTCAACTTTTTTTTA